CGAGTTGCACTACCTAACTTTGACCGTAACTATAACGATAACCGGTGGTTTTTGTATGGATTTTTGACGTTTGTTAAAGTTAAAGAAAGTTGGTGCAACTCAGCCTTAGACTTTAAAGTTTAAACTAAACCAGCCTGATTTCTATACTTTTTATAAGACGTCTAAGCATTGTCTAAAAAGGTGCGGGAATGGTCCGTTATTTATGAAATAATTAATTAACTTTTAGATGTATTTCCCAATTCTTAGATCATTTCAAGTCAGCTTAACCTTCAATGTAACATAAACAAAACCAAACCAAAACTGGGTTCACAAAAATGAAACGCGTCATTTAAATGTAATGTAAGTGTATTAGCAACGTTGGTACATGAGATTACTGATTAATACTGCCGTGGATATCATAACACGTGTCCGCCGGACACATAACAAGTGTCCAATATTACCAATAGTAAAAAAGAACTTTATCACCAATAAAAACCGTGCACGCCCTAAGATGCGACTTACATACAACTTGCGCCCTATCACATCTATAAATTCATAACCGATTAATACAAGGACACTACCGATAAATATAAAACGTGAGCATTCGTACAGTAGGAGACTTTACTTCTTAACAATATTTTAAATATCCGACTACAAGACTTAAATTCTTCAAGAAAACACCACAACGTACAAATCTGTCCAAAGAGTTCTGTAACATTTTTTTAGTTACGCATCAAGTTTAGTTACTAGTTGGTAACCGTTAAGTTAAATTATAACCTTAAATCCAATGGTAAATGATTCGCTAATTCAACAGTAAGTATACCAATCGACATATAAAATGATAAAAAAAACATCTTATTTTCATCTACTATAATTATACTACAACATTTCCTAGTACCCAATTATCATTACCCGGTAAAAAATACCTAATATTTAAAAAATACACAATTAACTAGAAAAAGTGAACTATGAAAAAAAAACTAAGAAAATAAACAAATGGAAGCCATGGTTTCAACTAAACTATTGAGTATTACATCTATGCGATTGTGTGGTAAATTGTTCTAAAATTTTAATTCCAGTTAAGTCTTGTTCTGTGGTTCACAAATCCATGAATCCAATAAATGTATGTCTGTCTCGAAAATACTTTAATTAGGCCCTCAATAATACTGCACGTCGTTTACAAAAGAAAGGAACTAAAAATAAATAAAAGAAAACCAACCAAAATAAAAAAAATCATTCATTTAATTCTCTGTGATATAATATAATAATTTCTTTAATTATAAGTATCTTTAAGAGAGAATAATGTTCTATTAAAATCTACATACAACATGACATAAGACGAATTATCAATTTACATCTAGTGTCGCAACGACAAACAAAGACCGCTCTATTTAAATAATTTGTCAATATAAATTTTTAAATAAAATATAAATAATCGAGTATTTACTGTTCCAACAACTCTATAGCCTATGGTTGACCACAGACCAATAAAATATTTTTAAACTGTGGTGTAACACTAGATAAGGATTTCGGATAAATTTATGGTGACACTACAACGACTTACAAACGATAAAGTTCTAGAGATCTGTGGAAGTGAATCAGATGCAAAAGTAAACAAACAATCTATACAAGGCCTACATTAGTCGTCATAGAATCGATATAGACAGCATTCCATAAAACATATCATATAGTATATTAAAAACAATATATGTATCTAATAATGCCTACATACAATTGCCTAATATTCTCGCCTAAAAATACGATAAATAAAAATAAGACGATTAAATAATTATCTCTTAAGCCTAACTTAATGTAAAAAGGTCTTCAGTGGAAATTATTTAAATAAAATCACTTCATAGAAGCGACACAAACCTGGCAAGCAGACTGTAATGAAAATTGGTTGTACATTCACTTACACTTTTAAAAAATATCATACAAAACTTACATACACGGGTACTTAAATCATATAATGCACTGGATGAGGGTAGTTTTGTTTTGTACCAGGTTATTCAGTCGAGTCGCCCGTTTGGGACGTGTCGAAATGCATTATTGTGCATAAAATATATCCAAAATCTTGTCACGTAAACCCTTACATTTAACGTCTACTAAATATAAACTTATGTAGTATGATTATGTAAAATAAATAGTTATCATTAACTAAAACCAAACGGAGGGAAACGTAACGCAATTAACACTTAAAACTCCCTTGAACTAATCATGATCGGGAACAGACGTGATATACAAATCAAATGGTTTCAAATGTATCTTCCTGTGATTGAATTAATACACTTGTCACTTCCTTTATAACATGATTAACTTCATTAACTCCTATATTGTTATTTTTTATATATTTTATGACAAACGACAATACTAGAGACAAGTGAACTGATTCTCCATAAAAATGTAATTCACAAACTTAGAGATACAGTAAAACTCCATTGTTCTCTCATATGAAACCCTCCCATGAATCGACCATAGTTTGCGCCAAAACTATCTTGTCACTTTAACATTAAATTAAAGGATTAATATTGATGAACATAAGTTCATTTAGCTGCTTAAATATTTGACAACGTCAGTGTCAATGTAAAATTTTTGTCGCAAACTATAGTGATGCTCTGTCGTCCTGTTACGAGATCAACGTTATTATCGATATAGTTGATTAACTAGTGACGTTAGCTGTCATGTTGTTACTTTGGGACTAATCATTTAGGGGACGCGTTGTCGACCGCCGTAAGAGCAATAAACCAATTTGGTCAGTTATTTTATTGTATTGAATAATAAAAAAAGTATTTAAAACTGTTATTAATGGTATAGGTACTGAAACGATTTCATTGTGAGTCATGTTTAAGTGAGTGATAAGTCCAGTTATGAGCGGGACCATCCCGTTTAAATTAATTTAAAGTGTCTTCATGGTGTCCTCAGGACATCTCGAGGTCGCGAAAATGTCAAATTGACACAGAAATCACGTGTCACTTGGTAATAGTGCAATACGCGAGCTTAGTTGTTCTTACGGCGGTGGACAAACTATAGAGACTTCGGTTTCTTTCAACTCATTAGACAGACATTTCCTTGCCCTCCATCCGAGTACAGTCCTCAACAGAAACCCGCAAAGCCCTCCCGTCGCCACATCGATGCAACTTACGCTAAATATAAGACGGATATTCCTTAAGACATAGAGGACAATAGACACCTATATTACAATTATTTCATAGAGGGTCGTGGAATGGATACAAAATATTACAAAATTCTATCATTATCATATTTAAACTATCGCGTCCTAACATTCAAACCATGAAAATGCTCATCAAATTTCTTGTAAAAAAATCTCAAATTCAACATGCATTTTCGCTTGGCTCAAACAATATTCGTTAGGACACTGTGAATCTACTAAACTAATTTGTTATAAATAATAACAGTAATATTCAAATCCGATAATTTTATATGTAAACTGTTTACGGTGATTATAATAGGGTAATACATGGTGTTTTGTTATAAAAATTAGTTTGAAAACACCAATATTTTATATCTGATTGATAAGTTAGATATCGAATATCCTGTCGCGGTGAGCCCGAGTAGAAAAGTTTAATAGCTCACACCTACTAGAAGCCCCCGTTCAAAAATTTAAAAATACGTAAATGGCACGAATATGTACATGGGAATTGACATGATCTCTCGAACGGCGGTGCCACATACACGCGACTGTACTAAATTAGGCCAAGCGGCAAACGAACTTCATTCATATACTGTTAACCAGACGAATTTGCACTCAATTACGCTGGCGTTAAGACCCAAAATCGCTCGATCAACTTACAGGCACACGTACAGTCGACGCCAGTAATATTAACGACATTTCAAAACGTAGCTAGCTTTCCAAGTACCTGCGTCAAATGGTAGCAGTCCCGTATATTTTAGGAGGTAGATACCAATAATCTTGGTTATATTTTGTCACACTATTGGACTACATCATTTGACGAAGGACAATCTCACATTACATTCAGTCGTATCCAATATTAAAATGTGAATATATTATTGTTATCGACTGTATTACATAGAATACACATACATCAACCTGCAGACCCGCTACTACGTAAAATAAATGCTTGTGCATATTAGCTCTTCTTATACAATACCCATTTTATTTCGCGAAAACAATTTATAATTCGTTTGTGTACAGTCTGAAACAAAAGTCCTTGAAGTATTATTTACTTGAGAAAAAACATTTCAAGCTACTTTTATGCCGACTGTACTGACAACTGTTTAAAAGTAATTCGTTGTGAAAGTCCACAGAGTACAATATATCGCTCTAACCGCATCTACTTTCTATACAACGGAATGTACGATCTATATTTCGTTATGTATAAAATAATAACATTCAACAGCACAATACAAATACTATGAACTTTCAGAACAAATATTCAAAGGTTTTAATACGTATGGATATTGTGACCAGTTGTTATGGAATCGCTATTAAGATGGCGCACTGGTCGCAATCACACGTAATAATAACCTTACATTATTGTTTTATTAGGCTGTCTATCCACCAAGGAAATCTGCCTTCTTCATGCCTGGTTCCATTGCTTTTGTACTCTATTTTAGCTACAAATATCGTCCAATATTAGGCAGAAGTTTACAGATACAGCTTTGGTGGACAAAAGCCTTTTCTAGCTGCGTAATGATTGCATATTTAAATCGATACAAAACTGCGAGTCGCACTTTTCAACGGTACAGTCACAGATGCCACAGTTATACCTTGATGTGCAATCTATACAGTATACAGTCAACGTCAATGAGGGTTTTCGCGAATGAAAGATCCGCTAGATGGCGGGTCGTGGATGTGGGGTCTGAATGCTGCGTGATTGGTGGATTTTGACATATCTGTCAATGTCATGTCAAAAATAATCAATCATGCAGCATTTGGACCTCGCGTCTACGTATTGCCATCTGGCGGATTTTTCATTCGCGAAAACCCTCATTAATTCGTGACACCCAAGGTAGTCAATATGTTCGCAACACGTCTTACATATTGGAATAAGGTTATGTTGTCAACTTTTTGGCCACTTTGAGTCTCAAGAACTATTTGAAGCTGAACAAATCCTGGAGATACATACATAAAACAGATAGGAAGAGATATATCCATAAATACATTATCTGTCATTCAATTCATGACTGTACCCTCAAAAAGCTGAAACAATACATAACATCGCGAAGCTGCAGAGTGCCGGCTCACCAGGGCGGGCGGCTAGCGAGCCTGGGCGGACGGCTAGCGAGCCTGGGCGGCCTAGCGAGCCTGGGCGGGCAAGCGAGCCTGGGCGGCCTAGCGAGCCTGGGCGGCCTAGCGAGCCTGGGCGGGCTAGCGAGCCTGGGCGGGCTAGCGAGCCTGGGCGGGCTAGCGAGCCTGGGCGGGCTAGCGAGCCTGGGCGGGCTAGCGACTGCTGGGCGGCATCGGCATCTGCGCCTGCACGCCTTGGAGGTTCATTGGCCGCCCGTTAGGGTTGCCCATGCCCAGGCCGTCTTGGTAGCTGTTGGCGTCCATTGTGTCATCGTTCTGTTGAAATGTTTAGTTGATTTTGAAGCATTCTGATGTTTGGTGTAGGATATTACATTGTATAAAACTGTCAGTGTATCTAACAGAGATTAAAGTATAGATCGTTTCATCCACGAAGACGCACCCCACCATTCTTCCGATAATGTTTGAGTGTTATCGGTACACGCTAAATCATCCATGAGTTCACGCGCACACTACAATAATGACGCTCGGATTGCTCGGATCAAACTCCCCGCATCCCGCGCTTCCTTCGACCAAAAAATTGGTGGGGCGCGTCTTCGTGGATGAAACGATCTAATTATAGTTGATGGGAAAAGGGCAAAACTTGTGGGTGATAAATGTCACTCCGCTGGAATATAATTTTTGTAACTGCGTGTCAAATAAGGTGGACAGTGCATTATGTTACAACATTATGTGCAAAGTGCTGGCTTTGAAGCAGATTTTTTAACTTTTTTATGAACAAAGCGTTTTATTTCAAGCGTTGATTAATGCTGTGTTGTTAATTGAATGTGTGGACATTTCAACAGCAAGTATTATACAAACGGAGTAGTCTATAATACCATACCTTCCTATGTGTCGTCGCCATCATACTGCAGACCGCATGTAGTAGTCATTTTACAGAGTGTATAATATAATGTAAAAATAGATTCTACTTCAAGGAAATAATGTGCAAAGTTCACTGCACCTCTAGATGGTGGCATGCAGTTTTGTCCTCGAATCGGACATCCCCGCAGGAAGCTATGGGCCAGCTGAGCATACAACTCTGTATGTCTAATAATCATGCACTGGTCTACTTCAAGGGAATAAGGCGCGTAGAAGCCATGGGCCGACTGAGCGTGGAGTTGGCGTTGCAGTCATGTATACTATCTAATCATCATGCACTTTTCTACCAAACTAAATTCTACTTCATTGGGATAAGGTGCAAACTTCTCTGTACCTCTCTATGGCGGCGTATGGTCCTATCCTCGTATCGGGTGCCTCCAGTAGAAGCCATGGGCCGACTGAGCGTGGAGTTGGCGTTGCAAACGTGTATACTACCTAATGATCATGCACTTGTCTACTAAAATGGACTCTACTTTTAAGGGAATAAGGTGCAAAGTTCAGGATACCTCTCTATGGCGGCGTATGGTCCTATCCTCGTATCGGGTGCCTCCAGTAGAAGCCATGGGCCGGCTGAGCGTGGAGTTGGCGTTGCTTGGCGAGTGGGGGGCTCCACCTCCAGACATGGGCGTGCCCTGACCTGCTCCCACACCCGTATCTACGTTCACCAATGCGCAAGGTGCGGTATACACGACTGTTCATTTGTGAGACAGTATGAGGTGGCGATGGTGTAAACGGAGGCTTGGAATGCGAAAGCGTTTTGTAATCTTGTGGTGAATGGACGTAATAAATGAGCGTTTTCATTTTTGTGCCGAAACAAAATAGACCCCAAATTGATACTTTTTGTTTCATTTGTATAAAGCCACCGATCATGTTTTTGTCATCAAAATGGAGCTTTGCAACGAGATCTATTTAATATTATGGCATGAAATATTTATGTAACGATTTAAGAGCGTTTACGCCGTTTGGCGCAAAAACAGTACTTTTTCAACTCGTTACAATCATTAACCAGTAATACTACAAATATGTTATAGGCATAAATAGTTAGGCAATTTCGTCGTCTAAATAGTTAATTGAGAAAATATTGCGATTAGTTTAGTATTCAAGAATTCTATCAAGATAAGTCCACACAGGTTTTGTAAATTTCCACTTTAGCGTCAGTTTACAAGCTGAAATTTTTATAAAAATACTGTGAAAACGATTTAACAAACATTTATATCCTATAGCATAGATCCTTGGGCAAATAGTTATCTGAGAAAATTTTTAGATTTAAGCATTTTACAATAAGAAATCACAAATTAAGAACCCCACATAACCCACTAGCTGCCCCCGCAGCTGGTGGGTATGAAATGTTATGCATTTTCCGGATAAAAAAAGAATAGTAAACAGGAAAAGTTTGTTTTAAATAGAACCGATTTGAAAAAATCTCTCACCATTAAAATTCAATTTTTTTTCTGCTGAACATAGGCTGTATAAAATATTCTCAAAATAGTAAAAAACCTTTGATAATTTACTATTTGATAAAGAATTTACGTATTTATTATTGATTAGGACTAATGTATACCATTATTTATAAGTACGGAGTCGGTGTTGGAAGATTTGAAGATTTTATAGTTTCTTTGGGCTGTCACTTGACAGCCTGGCACACTTTTACGATGGTGGATCAAAGTATTTTGGTTTGACTATAGAGCGTGAGAACACGCACACAGTCATAATTATTTTAGTGTGAATAAAAATAGCATCGAAATTACCTAAACTTGACATGCCACGCTAGACGTAAACGCTCTTAATGGATTCAAAAGCATCGCATAATATAAGGCATTGTGTGCTAATGATCAATTTAATATGGCTATATCTCAAATAGCAGCTTCGTGGTCGAGTTTTCCGTAAGTAGTGTATTTTTAGTACATATTAATAATATTAATATGAAGAATTAGTATATTGAGACAATCCACAGCATCACAAAACGTTCACTGACAGTGTACGATTCCATGCCCCAGATGCAAATACACAAATGAACAGTCGTTTAGAAATGAACGTTATGTTTATATCGCTATGAAAATTGCAAATCTTTTAACTTGAATTGTTTCAGAACAAAATTACAGATCATAGCAATAAAAACACAGATGTTAAAGCTATATTGACATTATGAACACAGTGAAGTTATTATTATTCATGACAACATTATAAAACCAATTCTGACGGGTCTAAAAATATATTACCCCTCTTACTAAAAATACTGGAACTTGATCTGTAGTTATTAAAATGTGGGCTGTATTTTAAGACCAATAGAATTGATTTTAATATTTAAGATGCGTTGCGCAGTTAGCCATGTTATTAGTGACTAGCGTAAGGTCGCAACTAGACTGTGATAGTATAGTAGTCTGTACAGACATTTGACGAACATTTACACACATTTGTATAGACAGAGTGATTATGTACATTGTTCGCAAATTATATAAAGCTTTATGTATAGTAGAACCTTGCCCGTATGATTGCAGAAATGGTGCAAATTGAAGGCGTGTAAAATTACTTCTTTCACAGGTGGTGAATTACTCATTAGCTCAATCAAGAATTACTAACATACTCAAAGGACTACTGGGAATCGAACCCGTAGATTAGGCCTGGTTTTCACCAAGGTGGGGCAGAGTGGAGAAATGTTCTGAATAACCAATCAGATTTCATTCTGTCTTATGAAAATATTAGTTTAAGTAGATCGTCCTTACGAAAACATTTGCAGTAAGCCGATCCGAAAAAGCTTTTTAGCTTAGATCTTAGCTTTTGAAACTGCAGTTTGGGTGACCTAGGCTCAGACCACCGAATTTTAGTTGGCCGATAGTTTAGTCGGACGCTAATGAGTATGAACATGTATGAAAGTGCGCACAGGCACATTACATCGACCGATTCTTCATACAAATTAAAATCGGGCCCAACCATTAGCCGACTAAAAGTCTGTAATCTGCGGAGTCTAATGTCCGATTTCACCATCAATCCCTAATTTTTAAGTGACCCTTATGAAAACAAAATTCCTGTTATGTGGTACCATAGGAGTCACTTAACTTAGGGATTGATGGTGAAAGCGGACTTAAGTGTTCATCATCATCATCATCATCAACAACAGACACCTGCAGTCCTATGAACCTCCTCTACTATAGTGAAGGGTTTTGCCATAATCCCCACGCTTGGCAGGCGGGTTGGATATCGCAGTTTAAAAGATTGATGTTTTTCAGAGAGCGCTGCCGCCCGTTCTGTTTGATGTGTAGTCCCTAAGTCGCCTCTTACGACACCCGTGGGAAGAGTAGGGGTTGGTGACAAATGTATTCTACTCTGCCGTCAACACAGCGCCGTTCTGTTTGATAGTCGACTCTTACGACTTAGTGTTACTTGTGCAGTTTTAGTTTCGCGTGTTCCCGTATACGTACCGCTGGCGTTGGAAGATCCGCGCGGCACGGCGGCGCGCGCCGGCGTGAGGAAGTCGGGTTCGCGCCAGCCGTGCTTGCGGTACACCTCGCGGAGCTCCGCGTGCGACCACATCGTCATCAGCACTTGCCCTGTGGACGGACGATTGTTGGTTTAATACTAGTTTTAGGCCTCTTGCGTCTGGCTTTGTAGTGGCAGATTGGACAGAGGTAACTGAAAATTACTTTAGAACAGCGTACGTTAATAAAACACTGGAGCCGAATCGTAATTCCATGCTTTATTGAAGTGCCCGCTTCCAGCAGAGAGCGTCGGACTCACCGCTTTCGCCTGTGACGGCAGTTCTGCAGGCGTCGTTACATTGGTTCTCCTGCGAATCGCCTCATTTCTGATTCGATCACGTATGAAGAACGTGATAAATTCCTTTCATCTAAGTGTCATTTGTTCATAGTCAAATTAAATCAAAAACGTTTATTTGTGGAACATAGGTAACAATATGTAGCAATCGGTAGTCGGTAAAACCTTTTCTGTCCCGCTTTGCAACGTAGAGAAAACAATAATTATATTTCGAGCTCATCCTATACTCATGAGACCGAATTTTAGCTATCTCCGAGAATTCTCAACCTTCCTTCACGCTGTAGATCAATGCTATAAAGGTGTTGCAGTGGTGGGAAAGAGATGATAGGGATTAGTCTCGTATGTAGACGACTAACCTGCAAACTTGAGAACGCGTGGCGTATGACGGTGGCGCTGCTTGGTAAGATTGAGCAGGCGCTCGACGCCACCCGCCTCCAGTAAAGAACGGGAGAACTCGCCACTCTTGATGTGACGTCAGTGAGATAGCTACTGACCTCTTGCTGTGACGTCAGTAAGATAACTACTGACCTGCAAACTTGAGAACACGCGGCGTATGACGGTGGCGCTGCTTAGTAAGGTTGAGCAGGCGCTCGACGCCACCTGCCTCCAGTAAAGAACGGGAGAACGCGCCGCTCTTGATGTGACGTCAGTGAGATAGCTACTGACCTCTTGCTGTGACGTCAGTGAGATAGTTACTGACCTGCAAACTTGAGAACGCGTGGCGTATGACGGTGGCGCTGCTTGGTAAAATTGAGCAGGCGCTCGACACCACCTGCCTCCAGTAAAGAACGGGAGAACTCGCCGCTCTTGCTGTGACGTCAGTAAGATATCTACTGACCTGCAAACTTGAGAACACGCGGCGTATGACGGTGGCGCTGCTTGGTAAGGTTGAGCAGACGTTCGACACCACCTGCCTCCAGTAAAGAACGGGAGAACTCGTCACTCTTGCTGTGACGTCAGTGAGTTAGCTACTGACCTCTTGCTGTGACGTCAGTAAGATAACTACTGACCTGCAAACTTGAGAACACGCGGCGTATGACGGTGGCGCTGCTTGGTAAGATTGAGCAGGCGCTCGACGCCGCCCGCCTCCAGTAAAGAACGCGAGAACTCGCCACTCTTCTTTATAACCTCGTTCAGCGTCGCCAGAACTGCTGCTATCGTGTCGTCTGACGTGCCCTGTGGACGGATTAATCAAGTTTAGTAGCTTGAAATTAAGCTCAAACTCAGAGAACTGATTTGCTTCCGAAAAAACATTGATTACGTGCCACCAATCTAATTTTATTCCCACTAACAAAAACCAAAAGTGCGTTGAGTAGTCTCGTAAAAAACAAGTGCAACAAAACATTTTCGGGAACTGATATTACAAGTAAGACATTGAACTATTTTAATGACAAGGTATTTGCAATCAGTGCTTGAGGCATGGGAGCGGCACTTATTAACATATGACATGACAGAGCATACAAATCTAAAGCACATCTGAGGTCTAGCTGACGTTTGACGTCACAAATACCTCAGGCGCTGACTCAGATAAGCGTTGGATCTGTAATGAGATATGACTAACGAATATTTTTTTGGTTATTAAATTAACAACAATGACCCAATCAAGAGGCTAAGTGCTATCGATTGCCCTGAAAAACTAACTAACTATTGTTTATTGTGAAAAATGTAATAGGTTAAAATAACGCGACGGTATCGTTATAACAAAATAATGTCATCAACGTAATATCAATGTCACATTAGAAACGTCAGAATAGAGAAACGCGGGCGGACGACACCACGCGCTTTTGTACTAAGTGATAAATTGTATTTAAATAGAGACAATTTAATGTAAAAGTGTAATGCGATGTGGAAGTCATTGGGGGAGGCCTATGTTCAGCAGTGGACGTCCTGTGGCTGAAATGATGATGATGATGATGATGAATGTAAAAGTTAAGTATTCAGTGTTTTATTCATGAGAATAGATCTACCGGCCTCTAATACTATCAACACAGTTATTTACCTGATCATGCTGATGGTTCCCACTGGGCAGCTTCTGCACCAGGTCCCTCATGGCGTACTTCCCGATGAGCTCCTTGTTGCGCTGGTCGATGGCCAGGTTCCGCAGCGCCGTGGCCACCGCGCACACCACCCGGTCTACCTCCATGCGAAGCAGTTCCACGAGGATCGGCAGACCTGGAGCACATGTGGCTGGTGAGGTAAGGTGTGGGTGGTACGAGTAATAGGTAGGTTATTACACACGATGATGGGTTAGGGTCAAAAAGAAAGAAGATTGCAGAGAAAACAGTAGATATTTATTATAAGTACGACAGAGATGATACCGCATAGGCACAAACAGACATTGAGAGAAAAAAAAATAAAGTCACAATGACATAAGCAGTGTCAGATTTGACTTTGACGTTACTGGATAATAGACTATTCAATGTTGCGTTTCGTTTTACATTCCGACACACGATATGATTAAAATATCGATTCAGTAAATTAGTAAATTGTTCAGGTTTTATTACGTCACTTTCTCTCTCTCTCGCTCTCTCTTACGCTTATGGCGCAAATGCTATAATTTGGATTATGTTCGGATGTCGTAACGCCTACGACATACTCCTCAATCCGCCTAATCCTGAACCATATCCTGCCATTTATGCCTTTGTAAATAAGAGTAGGTCGTCCTTCTGCAGAGGAGACTAAATGTGCTGATGATGATGAAATTTGGTAATAATGGTACGCTCGCAACTTCAGTAGGGTTTAATGACAGGATAATGATGATGACTCTAGCGAGCACCATATAAGCTCGTACTACAAAGTCAACCGCCTTTCTCCTTCCAGATAACTACTCGTATGTTGTCTTATAGACACAATAAAAGACTAAGAGGATTGGTCTCCTAGGGCCGGCTTAGCACTCACCCAAGTACTTGATCCACTTCATGGATAGGATTTTTACGAATGAGAGGGAATAAGGGTAAAGGGAAGCACAAAAGACCCCTAAGGGTCGACGTGCACTGAGGTCTCACAGTTCGCATGGACGCACAGGGTGACACACGAACCAATCAAAGATCTCTATTCAACGCTGTGCGTTCGATTTGCTGCTTCACTTAAGCAAGCATCGTTTGTGAATACGGGCGTAAGATAAGACTAATGTATAGAGTATTATAAAACCAACCTTTCTCCTTCCGCACAGCTGCTCGGATGTCGATGGATGGCTGCCAGTAGCAGGCGGCGAGGTTCTGCAGAGCGCCCGCCGCTGCTTCCAAGGTCTCGGGGTTGGAGCACGTCTGCAGCAGCGCCATGTATAGCGGGACCACCTGGGAAGACCAGTACTTATCAGAAACTCATTGCCACTAAAGAGAAGGTATACATAATTTAATATGTACTCGCTCCTTCCTTTTCCTTACGGACGAACCAAAGGTAAACAAAACAAAAAAGTTACTAATATGACAAAAAAAAATTGTAAATTTTTAGGAGGCATACTCATTTTTCGTTTTGTTATCATCATATTTGATATCATCGTTTTGTTACATAAAAAGTGCTAACATTACGCCACCGAACGCCAAGACTCCTTAGTCTGATAATAAAGCGTATAGACAACGAGGCAATTTAACATTCGTGGCAGATTCAATTTCGTGATCGCTTAACGCTTTTATTTGAAACCCGTCTAACTCGTTCTTCATTGGACCTATAGGATACACGGAAGACTGAGGCCCTTTTCACATGTCCCGGTTGCCGGCTAACCGGCGCCGGGTAAATACACTTCACCACCGGGTACCCGGCGCCGGTTAGCCGGCAACCGGGACATGTGAAAAGGGCCTTATGCTCACCCCTTTACTGATTAGATATTTAGTATATTGAACTTGCCATTCATGCCACAAGATTGTCTGTTCTATTCGTTCGTTCTCGTTTCAGCCGAAAGACGTCCACTGCTGGCCAAAGGCCTCCCCCAAGGATTTCCACAAAGACCGGTCCTGCGCCGCTCGCATCCAGGTACCTCCCGCGACCTTCACCAGATCGTCGGTCCACCTAGTGGGAGGCCTGCCCATGCTACGTCTTCCGAATCGTGGTCGCCACGAGTTACTGTCGCTGTTCTACTAAATTAAGAATAAAGCTGTAAATAAAATCCCCCTACCTCCGGCGACCAAAGCATTTCCGTTCCTTTCGGCACGCTGTACCCCAGTTGCGTATTAGATGACGTGTCCCCAAGAGGTTGCGTGTCAGGTTCGCTCTTGCCGAGCGGGCTGGTGGAGTTAGACGAAGATGAGCCTTCCTTCTTCTTTTTACTGCCGCCGAAACAGCCTAGGTTTTCGCCTAGAAAATAGTACGAAGTTTGTATCAAATAAATAAAGAGTGTAGACTGAAATGTGAACTTTATTACATCAGTATACAGTTCATAACATTAATTATTACCTTTGGAAGCGCTGGCTTGTATCCTAGCCTGTCCCGACGACTGTGTTGGAGGTGCTCTCGTGTCATACAACGGGTCTTCAATTTCTTGACATCTGGAATAAACATATTTCATTACTAAATGGGCTATCAAACATTATATTTTGGACAAGGTTTAGTGATGAGTTTTGTGGTGACAAATTGGTGTACCGGCAGAGTAGAATAAGCTTTCTTTCTCTCGTAAGAGGCGATTAAAGGACAACATCCTGTTCCTGTTCCTGCAATGGAGACTAAATAATCTGATAATGTGTTCCAGTAGTATGTGGAGAGGTTAATGTACGATATTCAACCTTAGATGAGACGTAAGTGAGAAAAGGTTGCTGCGCGACATTCAACCTTAGGCAGGTGGTAATATGAGTGTACCTGTAGGACAAGTTGCGCAGCACACAGACGCAGGAGCGCGGCCAATATTGATCCTTAACGCCATCGATTTGCCACACGATTTTAAACCTTAAGTAGGTCGTAATGAGTGTACCTGTAGGACAAGTTGCGCAGCACACAGACGCAGTTCTCGACGATCTTGGTGCCGATACGTTGACGCACACGGCCACTCTCACGGTATGCAGTAGCGCGACCAATAATGGTCCTTAACAGCGCCGATTTGCTGAGCGATATTGAACTTTATTCCAAGTGTACCTGTAGGACAAGTTGCGCAGCACACAGACGCAGTTCTCGACGATCTTAGTGCCGATGGTATTGATTGACACAGCCTATGGCATGCGTCACGGAAATGGACCCCAATGCGAGCCGGAACATCCAACCATAGTGATCCTTAACGGCGCCGGCTTGCTGTGCGATATTAAACCTTATTCCGAGTGCACCTGTAGGACAAATTGCGCAGCACACAGACGCAGTTCTCGACGATCTTGGTGCCGATGCCGTTGACGCGCACGGCCACGCGCACTGTCCAACAGCGCGTTCGATAATGATCCTTAACGGCACTGTCTTGCTACGCGACATTCAACCTTATGCAGGTGGTAATAAGAGTGTACCTGTAGGACAAGTTGCGCAGCACACAGACACCGTTATCGACAATCTTGGTACCGATGCTGTTGACGCGCGCAGCCTATCTTTAGCAAGCGGCACAGAAATGGACCCCAATGCGAGCCGGAACATCCAACCATAGTGATCCTTAACGGCGCCGGCTTGCTGTGCGATATTAAACCTTATTCCGAGTGTACCTGTAGGACAAGTTGCGCAGCACACAGACGCAGTTCTCGACGATCTTGGTGCCGATGCCGTTGACGCGCACGGCCACGCGCACTGTCCAACAGCGCGTTCGATAATGATCCTTAAAGGCACTAGCTAGCTACGCGAAATTCAACCTTAGACAGTTGGTAATACGAGCGTACCTGTAGGACAAGTTGCACAGCACACATACGCAGTTCTCACATACGTGCTGCTGCATACCGTGCGCGTGGCCGTCCACGCGCACTGTCCAACAGCGCGTTCGATAATGATCCTTAACAGCACTGGCTTGCTACGCGATATTCAACCTAAGACAGGTAGTAATAAGAGTGTACCTGTAGGACAAGTTGCGCAGCACACAGACGCAGTTCTCGACGATCTTGGTGCCGATGCCGTTGACGCGCACTGCGACGCGTACAGTGTGCAGCAGAGCGTCAGGTAACGCGTTAAGGCAGCGCAGGCGCCGCCGCGCGTATTCACCCGCGGATGATGCGTTGCGGAGAACGCCCGATGCGTTGCGGAAAACTGTAAGATAAGGTAATTATCGAAGGTTTTTTAAATTATAACAACACTGTTAGTACAAAGTTTTAAGACTGAGTTGCATCACCTAAAAACCGTAACTATAATAACCGTCTTGACAAATTTTTGACGTTTTTTACAGTTAAAATAAAATGGTGCAACCCAGCCTAAGGATTCTCTTACACATTAAAACTAACAACTACCAAAAATTAAAGGCAAACACGTTAACAGTTCACTTTCGAAGTTTGTACACATTGTATAATCCCTCCTAGCTAAGCGTAGTTATGCGAAGCAAGCGGTCTACGGGTTTCGGAGTAACGTGTTCTCGAAAGCTTCTGTCTGACACTACTATTTTTTAATGTCAGCAATTTTTCCTTTTGGTAAAAATATTGCCATAGCATTGCATAAGAGCCTGCTAAAATAAGCTCTCAGTCATACTGATCTTGTCAATGCTAGATGTATAATTTAATTCTGGATTATTGATGATATATTTTTCATTTTAGTTTCGATGTAGTAGCAAGGCTTAGAAGGCTACGTTGAAACTCCAAAATGAATAATCAAACCCACCGTTAGACCAGTAAGTGTCTCCAGGGTTGGTAGGGTGCCAGCCAGAGTGCGGTATGATGACCTTGTTGACGATGACCTGCGCCGCGTCGTCAATGATCGACTGCTTGAGGTCCTCGCACGATGACATGTTCCAGATGACCCCGGTGACGAGCTCTTTGACCTTGGTGGAGAGAATAATATCGTAATTAACATAGACATAATAATTTGAAACATTGTTTGAAGTTGTAAAATTGAACTCCTCAAAAACATTTCACGTCAAATGTTGCCAAGATCAGACCACTTGAGATAAGGCTTGCACTGTCAAAGTTGTCAGATATCATGTAGAGCCAAGCTTCTAACACTGTAAGCCCCAACTACATAAACTCTATGCCTTAGTCAAAACATTATGTGGCTTGGCCGTTTCGTTACAAAAACTATTATTGTTGAACAATGGATAAATCTTACAAGTGACACAGTGAAATTGCTAAGCCACAGATTTCTTTTTTTTTTTGTGAGAGTCGGGTTCTTCATTGGGGTTGTAACCTCAACCCATACGGTAGAAGAAAATCCCTTTAACAGTCATAACATAATCAATATTTTCATTGCTTTTGGACCTTAAGATAAGCGAATAAGATTAATCGTTATCGATACGCCATAGCGGATGGGTCGCTTATCATTTGGCGGCCGCGGGACAGGTCGCAGACACTCGGGCTCCGTGGAGACGCTACGGGTACACTATCGCCAGCACTGTACCTCCAAGGCGCTGTGTTGACGGCAGAGTAGAATACATTTGTCACCAACCCCTACTCTTCCCACGGGTGTCGTAAGAGGCGACTTAGGGACTACACATCGAACAGAGAACGGGCAGCAGCGCTCTCTGAAAGACATCAATCTTTTAAGCTGCGATCTCCAACCCGCCTGGCAAGCGTGGGGATTAGGCCTCAGCCTCGAGTTTAGCGGGCAGCGGGGCGGGAGCGGCGGCGGCGCGGGAGCGGGGCGGGCAACGCAGACCCGTTCTCGAAACCAGCGGGCAGCTCGCGCGGCGCTTTAGCGGCGAAGTGTTGTGTTCGGGGTTGTGTTGTCGAGATATTTGTTTTTATTCGCGAACGAAATGTCTGAATAACGGCGACAATTTTATTTCGATTCGAATTTATTCCTTACGCTCGATTTATTGTGGGCAAAAGAAGGAGTGCGCTGCCCGCTCGTTGCCCGCTCCCTCGCCGCTGCCCGCTCGTTGCCCGCTCCGCCGCCGCTCCCGCGCCGCTGCCCGCTAAGTTCGAGGCTGAGGCCTAAGGCCTCAGCCTCGAACTTAGCGGGCAGCGGCGAGGGAGCGGGCAACGAGCGGGCAGAGCGCACTCCTTCTTTTGCCCACAATAAATCGAGCGTAGCGGGCAGCTCGCGCGGCGCTTTAGCGGCGAAGTGTTGTGTTCGGGGTTGTGTTGTCGAGATATTTGTTTTTATTCGCAAACGAAATGTCTGAACAACGGCGACAATTTTATTTTGATTCAAATTTATTCCTAACGCTCGATTTATTGTGGGCAAAAGAAGGAGTGCGCTGCCCGCTCGTTGCCCGCTCCCTCGCCGCTGCCCGCTCGTTGCCCGCTCCCGCCCCGCTGCCGCGCCGCTGTTTTCGAGAACCGGTCTATTTGATTTTACGCATAAGATCCTGCCGCTCCCGCGCCGCCGCCGCCGCCGCCCCGCTGCCCGCTAAGTTCGAGGCTGAGGCCTAAGGGGCTGTTGATGATGATGATGATGTACCTCCATGTCGGTGGCGCGGCACAGCAGCGCCATGAGCGCGGGAATGCCTCCGGCGTCGCGAATGGCGCGCTTGTTCTCGTCGTTCTGGCGGCCGTAGGACAGGTTGCGGAGCGCTCCGCACGCGTTGCGGCACACTTCTGGGTTCTCGTGGGAGACCAGCCGCACTAGTGGTGGGATGCCGCCTGTGGATATAAACATAAGATTATAGTCATTCGTTCATTCTTTTTCAGTTGGAATTCCGAATTCTTTTGATTCCTTCCCATTAAACCCATTCAAGACCTTGCCCGACCGTGTGAGCGTAACTTTTAAAGGCTCATTGATTGTCGAGACCGGCATAGGCGTTTTAATCAAACTGTTTACATAGTACGCACAGTCGAACGTTGAATAGAGCTCTGTAATTGGTTCGTGTGTGTCACTCTGCCATTCAAGTATTGTCTATGAATAGGTTTTTAGGACCCTGTGCGTCCACGCGCACTGTGAGACCTCAAGTAATGTTTGTGAACACGGCTGTTAATTACATTAAGAAAATAAAAATATTTTATTTAAAGCGACAATAGCCCAATGGTGTCGGTATCAAAATGGCCAAATTGAGATCTAAGTAACGCGGGTTCATCAAACCCTGCTGCCACTGGACATTAGCTGTACCGTACAGCCTGTACGCACCTAGGCTCCTGGTCTTCTGCTTGTTGGGGTCGTCCATGTAGGTGAGGTGCTGCAGGTAGGCGGCCGCGTTGGCCTTCACGACGTCGGACGGCGAGTTGAGGAAGCCGATGACCTCGGGCAGGTTTGGGTCGCGCCATTGTAACCCGCCACCGTCCTCGCGACCGCCCACGCCGCCGTGCACTGCAAGATTCATCATCGTTATCATCATAATCATCAGATTTAAGATCCAAATGTACCAACATGATGCAATAAACATTTATGACTATGACTATTATCCAGTCTTCTCTACAAGAGCACTTCTAACAAATCATCACTAGAGGTCATCACTTCATCATGTTATCGCTAGAGGATACGGACCCCTATTTGCCTATCGGAGGAAAATTGAGGATTCATCCTACATTCATCATCATCGTCTCTACTGCATCATGAGCAAGACAAACCTCTCTTATTCACTAGAGGCAAATGGAGCAGTCATGCCAACTGTTTGGAATAACGACTGTGTGCTAAATATCCAGCTGGTTATTGTTGTCTGACATTACAAAAGCTTTATTTTACAAATCCAAGGGACTATAACAGATTTAATGGTCCACAGTCAGTCCTTCCTGACAGGCAAACAAACAGGTAAAAAACAAAGTGTTATTTTCCCTTGTGTATTCTACCAAGAGACTTACCTAACGCCATCCCAGCCATTTGTTTCTGTAATTCCTCTTCGTCACCGTACATTGACTGTCCTCCAGCGCTGCCTAAACTTAATCCGTTTTGCGAGTCCTGTCGAGGAGTAATAACAATTTAGATATAAAGAAAAGGCATTGCACTTCTTATCATAGATATAAAAGATTAAAATTATCTTTGCATTGATGACGAACCAGATATGAGGAGTTCCGTAGGAAAACTAAAGTAACCGACAACATAGCTCTCAGAATTTCATAAGTGGCAGTGGGCGTGGCCCAATAATGGGCGTGGCCCAAAATAGACTGCATTGGGACAGAAATTTCTCAAGTAGCGACCACGAACCGGAATATCTAATGAAGGTCTCGGGAAGCACCTGAATGACAGCGGTGCAGGACCGATATCGTTTTGCAAATCTTTGAGTAAGTCCAGCAGTGTGCGTCCTTTGGTAGAAATGAATGAATGAACTATAAAGAAAGCCATTGCACTTCCATCGTTCGTTTCAGCCGAAAGACGTCCACTGCTGGACAAAGGCCTCCCCCAAGGATTTCTGTGCCGCTCGCATCCAGGCACCTCCCGCGACCTTCACCAGATCATCGGTCCACCTAGAGGGAGGCCTGCCCACGCTACGTCTTCCGGCTCGTGGTCGTCACTCAAGAACTTTCCTGTCCCAGCGGCCAGTGCACTTCCATAACATAATATAAATAGAGGATTGCACCAATCTCTGCGGCGATATGACGTCACATCTCACCTTGAAAGGGGGTGGCTGGTGGGGGGGCGGGTCGTACGCGGTAGGGTAGTGTTGGTAGCCATACGCATCCGTCGCGTACTCGCCACGTGGTGACGTCACGCAGTAATGTCGCCCTAGCTGCTCCAGTGACGTCGAGTCGTACCTGTCGAGAAATATTGATATTTTATTGGCACAATCGAAAACGTTTTTGAAACGCCATTGAATATCCTTGATCAAAACGATGCATCGAGATAGATTAAAGATCTCGGAAACAGATTTATATTTATTTTCCGTCTACCCAACCACTAACCCTCAAATGCTATTATACTGCTAATGTACAGCCATAGTGAACTTAAAGCTGTCTAATTTGTGCCCAAACTGGTTCTATAAAAGCATTATAGCAAGCTATACAGCTCGTATACAGCTGACATACACAGCTTGTGGAGTACATGTGAACGACTATTGAACTCTTAAATGGAGTAAAATGTTACTTGGGAAAGGATTGGACTAATCTCTGCGTCGATATGACGTCACATCTCACCTTGAAAGGGGGTGGCTGGTGGGGGGGCGGGTCGTACGCGGTAGGGTAGTGTTGGTAGCCATACGCATCTGTCGCGTACTCGCCACGTGGTGACGTCACGCAGTAATGTCGCCCTAGCTGCTCTAGTGACGTTGAATCGTACCTGTCGAAAAAAATTGATATTTTATTGGCACAATCGAAAACGTTTTTGAAACGCCGTTGAATATCCTTGATCAAAACGATGCATCGAGATAGATTAAAGATCTCGGAAACAGATTTATATTTATTTTCCGTCTACCCAACTACTAACCCTCATGGTTCTAATGAAACTGGGATTAATAAAATGATAAGTACCTTTGTTGTAGATGCAAATTGTGTTGAGGTAAAGCGCCAGGTGAGGCACTCCTTGGAGATGCGCTGCCACCGCCTTCTACGTATTCCTGTAATTAAAATAGAACATAAATCTTCAGTAAACTGTACATATTCAACTCAAAAGATAATTCGAATTGAACCCGGCTGAGCGGTAAGGTCCAGCATTTAGGAGAGGTTTTAGAAGTCCATATACGCGGAATGTGTCTGGTATTCCGTGGCTTCGTAGTAGCCAGAGGCTCAGCAACACTTTTAAGGAAGAACAATACATAGTTTCAAACTAAGCTGAGGAGATGGCCGCAGTATCTCACCTGCCCCATGTAGGCAGGAACTGCGATGTGGGCTCTACCATATACACGACACTGACGCCCGTATTCACAAACATTACTATGAGGTCTCACAGTGCGCATGGACGCATAGGGTGACACACGAACCAATCACAGAGCTCTATTCAACGCTGTGCGTTCAATTTGCTGCTTCACTTAAGCAAGCATCGTTTGTGAATACGTGCGTGAGTCTATCACCTCAGTACTAATGTACCACTCTAAGCACAAGAGATTGTCGCAGCATCTCACCTGGCCCATATAGGCGGGGACTTGCGGCGGGGGCTCCACCATATACGCGGGCTGCGCCTGGTAGGCCGTGGCTCCATAGTGGCCGTAGGTGCCGTAGTGCAAGCCGTATGCACCCCCACCATTCACTAATCTAGGTACTAAAGTATAAAGGCACACAGCCACTCTTAGCAGAGCATATTGCCGCAGTATCTCACCTGCCCCATATAGGCGGGGACTTGCGGCGGGGGCTCCACCATATACGCGGGCTGCGCCTGGTAGGCCGTGGCCCCGTAGTGGCCGTAGTGCTTCGACGTATGTCCAACCACCGCTCACTGACACTTGAGTCCTATGTATAAAGGTACAAAGCCATTCTAAACAGAACAGATTGCCGCTGTATCTCACCTGCCCCATATAGGCGGGGACTTGCGGCGGGGGCTCCACCATATACGCGGGCTGCGCCTGGTAGGCCGTGGCTCCGTAGTGGCCGTAGGTGCCGTAGTGACCCGCGCCGCCCGCCCCGCCGTATGTCCCACCACCGCTCACTGAGACCGAGTCCATCACCTAAAACCAAAATAAATGTTTATTTTTAACTAGCTGACTCGGCGAACTTTGTTCCGCCTTAATGGCAATAAATAAGCAGACTTTTTTTATTTCGAACGGGATAAAAAGTATCCTATGTCCTTCTCCTGGCTCTAAACTACCTCCCTGACAATTTTCAGCTAAATCGGTTCAGCCGTTCTTGAGTTATAAGTGGAGTAACTAACACGACTTTCTTTTATATATATAGATTGTTAGACATAAGTAAAAACGAGGTGGACAAAACAAAACCTACAAGGTGGACCGACGACATCGTAAAGGTAGCAGGGATGCGCTGGATGCAGGCCGCTACCAATCGATCAACGTGGAAAGCATTAGGGGAGGCCTATGTTCAGCAGTGGACGTCCTATGGCTGAAATGATGATGATGATGATGATGATGAAGTAAAAACGTAATAATTCGTATTAACTAACATGAAATTGATTAAATTGAAAGGCAAAAGATAAGTGAATGATCAAACATACTTTCTAGGTATTTAACATTTCTTCTATCAGTTTATGTACCACTTAATTATAAAGCACAGAAGTATGGCCCAAAGCGACGTATTTCCCCCTATCTCTCTTTCTTCACTCGCCTTGATCTTTTGTCTGTCCTAAATTGTGATCTAAATTTAATCATCAGTCACTCACATGAGGGTACTTCTGTGACGGCGCCATGGTCAGGTGTCCCATGTGGTTATAAGNGATAGGGTAAGTCCTTTACGCGGTATAACCGGAAAACCGAAAAAACGCCGCTTTCGGGGGCCCCCACCACTTAAGCACAACTCCGTCGAAGTCGAAAACTTAGGAGAGTCTTAATGGGCAACCAATGAAGCCATTAAAGCAAAAAAATCTTTTGTAGGAATTATTTCCGATTTAATCAATTTTTGTGTTTAATTCTACTGGCCTATCATGGTTCTAATGAAACTGGGATTAATAAAATGATAAGTACCTTTGTTGTAGATGCAAATTGTGTTGAGGTAAAGCGCCAGGTGAGGCACTCCTTGGAGAAGCGCTGCCACCGCCTTCTACATATTCCTGTAATGAAAATAAACCATTAATATTTGGACCATTCTGCTGAAAATAAACTGAACTGTCATCAATTTTCTCAATAGGTTTCCTAAAGGATCAACTTCTAAAATCTGCTGACCTGAACTTGCGGTGGGGTACGTCATTGCGCGAGAGTGACCACAGAAGTCGTTATAAAGGTACAAAGCCACGTCCAAGTAGAGGATATTGCCGCGGTATCTCACCTGCCCCATATAGGCGGGGACTTGCGGCGGGGGCTCCACCATATACGCGGACTGCGCCTGGTAGGCCGTGGCTCCGTAGTGGCCGTAGGTGCCGTAGTGCCCTGCGCCCCCCGCCCCGCCGTATGTCCCACCACCGCTCACTGAGACCGAGTCCATCACCTAAAAACAAATTAAACACGATTTTTTTACATTGTAATACTATTTACATAAGAATGGAACTTATGGACTTAGGGACTACACATCAAACAGAGAACGGGCAGCAAAGTTCTCTGAATAACATCAATTTTTTAAACTGCGATCTCCAACCCGCCTGTCAAGCGTGGGTATTATGGCAAAAACTTCCACTATAGTGTAGGAGGCTCAAAAGTCCAGCAATGGACTGTAAAGGGCTGTTGATGATGATGATGAAGAATGGAAAACGCTTAATTACGCAGTTATGCGACATCATTTCCATAAAGGCGAAGGATTAAACATAAATTCTAGGTATTTAACAGTTTTATTGCCGCTTAGTTATGTGCGCACACAAGGGTGTCTCAAAGTCATGGTCTACTCACATGAGGGTACTTCTGTGACGGCGCCATGGTCAGGTGTCCCATGTGGTTGTAGTGAGCCGCCGGGGACGACACATACTGCCCATAGTCGGGATCAACGCCTCCGCCTACCACCGGGTATTCGCTCGCCTGGAAGAGAAACATGATGTAATTTAAGGTGACTTTATACAACATTATTATTATAAGTTAAACTTCACTTCATGAATTCAAATTCCTTCTTACGTAGATCTTTTAGAGCACTTATACCTAAATACAGCTTGCCTATGGATATCATATCAGCTCAGAGGTGGAATTTGGTAAAGCAATCGTCATCATTTGACAGTTCATAACGTACGATTATTCTGTCAAACGCTTTGTTTAACTGACTTTATCGTACGTTATGAACTGTCAAATGATTACGATTGCTTTACACAATTCCACCTCAGTACTCCTAGCTGTCGTGCACTACTCTTTCCTTAGATTTTGATCGTGTAAAAAAACTCGAAACTGCACGGTTTTGACTCCCGGACATAAGTTCACGCCCAATGTCTGTCCATAAAGTACAAAGCAAGCTATTCATTGAGTCGAAGGCGTATCACGTCTGAATCTTGGTCTGAATCTTGGTATCTTTCGTGACATAAAAAGACAATAAGTACTAAACTCATGACCTCAATTTCATACACGATCTCTACATTTCTTCTCCCTCTAATTCTCATCTCTTCTCACTATATGGTATAGATTTAGATAAATAACTTACTGCCCATAGTCTGTAGGTGCGTGATTTGCAGCCACAAGGAAACAATTTCATTATAACTATAACTTTCATTAGCAGTACTTCAAGAACAACTAATACAATGAAATGTTTGCAACTATACGTTGGAATGTAAACACGACCATTTATTAACTTCAGGGTTATCAATATTACAAATATTATGTGGATATTGTAACATTATTTCTGTCGCAAGTTAAAAAAAATAACAAAATGTAATAACTTTACAACATACGCTCAGAAAGAATTCAATGTTCATCACTTGGAAAAAAATCATCGATAAGTATGTATAATAAAAGGAAATAGGAAATCGATAGCTTTTGAAATGAAAATGCGACCCCTTTACCTATGTATGTACATTGTACAGACATACATTTTAATAATAATTAATAATAATTTAATGAAAAATAAGTCTACTGATTCCGACATTGTGCTCAATCTTGTATAATCAATTGAAGGAATCAAAATGTCAGCCCACTATTGCCAAGTAGGAGTGTGATTGTATGTCGCCTCCTTTAGAAATGCCATTCCTGATCAAGACAATCTAGGAATTCCACAAACGGCCCAACTGATGCGCAGTATACATTCCACTCAGTCTGTGCCGACTATCTGGCTTATAATAATCTAACAGAGGAACAATTTATCGGAATTATCAGTTAGGTCAGTATTACACTTGCATAAACTTGCTTATAATCTGACTGTTATCAGTATTGCTAAACAATAGGTTGAGCAATTGGAAATCTTGCGGACACTTTGGGACCTTTGTCACAATGTTCTGTTGAACTTAGGAAAAGTGATCCATTAGGGGAGGGTCACTTAACTTCCACGGAAAAGTTTCCTTTTGTTGCCAAATCGGGCAACTTTGGAAAGTTACAGCTAAGCTGATAATGATATTTACCGCTTGAAAAACGCGGAACTCGGGTGTAAGTTGACGACGTAATAGGCAGGGTTCAACACAAAAAAGTACCCTGACGAGAGACTATTAACTTTTAATTATTAAATTACGGTGTTGATTTACATTGAACAATGAAACACAGAATCTAAGTCTGTAATTTGAATATCACTCAAATATCAACCAATGCTATCTTCATATTTTCTTGCAATATTCTGGTGCAGGACCGGTCTTTATGGAAATACTCGCTATCCCGCAGTGGACCTCTTTCGGTTGAAATAGCTAAAAGAAGGTGGTTTGACGTCCCACCTGCGAAGGCTAGGTATAGACTAAGAGCTAGTGAACGCCAGACCTACGTAATTTTATAAAATCTGAAAGTTTTTTCAGCTTATGCTCCCAATATAGGATAGAATGTTGGTGAATGATGAAGTTTGGGTCATCGTGGCTTTGGCAGCTACGCATACGCAGACAAACATTCAGCTATTAGAAAAAGACGTAGGTCTGGCGTTCACCAGCTCTTAGTCTATAGTGTTGGAAATCCAACATGAATTCAATAGAATTGAAGATAGGAGGAGATGGTTTGTATTTTTCTTTCTCTCTTTCTTTCCTACCTGCATAGCTAGATGGTGTTGGTGGGCCAGCGCCGCCGACAGCTCGGCGTCTTCGGTGGAGGCGTCCGACCGCGACACGGGACTGTGCTGCGACCCGTAGGCGCCCTCCACCGGCCCGTTGCTAGAAATAAAGAAATTATACTTTTAGAAGGCATATTCTTTAGCATCCATAACCTTATTTAGTAGAACACATAGACGATGGAGAACGGCACATCCAGTTGAACTATGTGGCGCCTTGTGAAAGAGGAAACATTTGTTCTTTTGTAACGAACAAACTCTAAAATTACTCGACCGATGTCAAAAAATTTTACACCATTAGATAGAATGCTATTCATAAGTGAATCCTTAAGTAATATAGGTTATAGTAGGCCGAAATCCACGCGGGCGAACCCGAGAAAAAGCTTTTTAAGTCGATAAAGGCGAAAAGATTTAGATGAAATTAAGATATTTGAACTCCACTCAAATCGGGGGCGTCGGTCGCATTTATTATTCAGTTCAACTGTTACACTTGACCTGCTGAGGTCGTGCATTGACATCTAAATTAATTTGTATTTGTTTACAGAGCAATAAGGTCGAAGGTTTACCATGGAGCTGGGCGTGACCCAGAATAAACGACTACAAAGATTATTCGCGTAAGGATTTGGGATCGTAGATCCTGTGGCTATGTAGGATTTAGAACGGCTTTGCATTAGGCGCCTAAGCAGCGTGAAATCGCTGTATCCACTTAAAGACACACGCGTAGGCGACGCTGCTTAGTCGCATACGTGTCGCTTAAGGCACGTTTAAGCGACAGCGCAAACTGTGCGACAAATCGCGACGACAAGCTTAATATGAAATAACGCGCGCACGCGTTTTGTGGCCGGGTCTGTCGCCCAGTGTGCGCCGTCGCTGGTTTAGAAGCTAAAGTCATATTACTTCTGTGGACGTTACGAGAGCATGTCATACCTACGATATTTTTAGATTATTCTAGCTAAAACTACAAAAACAAACTAAGTCTATAGGGATTAATTTACAGAATATTCTCATGCCTAGTTTTAGTCCAACGCGCCCCAAACGGCCGACAAGTAAATAAGGATAACCACAAGAGATCTCATTTAAGCCTAGCGTATTTTTGTACTGTTTCAACTACGGAGGTTTTTACGGCTTGTTACGGATTCTGTACACATTTTCATGTTCATGACAAAACAGACAGGAGTTTTGTACATGATATGATACTCTCTACTTAGAAAAAAATAAAACGATCTGGTAAAGATCGCGGAAAGAACCTGGATGCGGGAAGCGCACAGGGCCGTACATTATGGAAATCTAGAGGCATTTGTCCAGCAGTGGACGTCTTTTGACTGAAACGAACGCACGAAGTAAAAATTAATATTGTGGCATTATAGGTAGTCACTTCAATTAAATTTTAGTCTTAAAGATGACGAGTTCATTAATTAACTTCATTAACTGTTTAAAATTTAACTGCTTTGAGCAGTCAAATCTATTTGCCAACTGATCTATTTTCACGCAAACCCTCGTCCACGGCAACTGCTTATGAATGGATAAGTAGGCACGGCCATTACTCGATACCTACAGGCAAAACATAAGTGAGAGTACTATGAAACCTCACTATGAGCCGGATCGATTGCAGGCTGAATACCAAATCCATTGCCGGTTTAATGCGGGGCTCGGCTTTAGCAAAACGGGGAATGGGAAATGGAAAATTAATTATGCGAAGTAACCTAAAATTATTGAAGTGCAAATGACCTAATTAATTTTTATGAAAGGCGATTCTTTTGAGGCTGCGGTTGAGCTCAATTTTACCTGATGGTACCTAAATTAGGATGGAATCTTAGATGGACCACAATGTTCATCGCCGGATCCTTAAAATCATCTATTTTATAGGAAATCCACGTCAAGATTTTCAGCAAATAATTTAGTTTTTAGTTTGTTATTTTGTTGTGTACTTGCATCGAATAAATACTTTTTCTTTCTATCTTTCAAATAGCTTCATTCAAACTTTGTATCGGTCTACAACAGTTTATGAAACTAAAATGCAATTCTTAAGCATCAGATTTTCAAATAACTTTTTTAAATTAAAAGACAATTCATTAGCTATTCTCGTAGTGCTAACAGAGGATTTTTAAAATGGCTTTGTCTAAACTGTATTAATTTCTAATATCGCCATCGAATGAATTAATAATGGTCTCGGCACAAATGCACGTTCAAACCGTGCATGAAAATGTTATATTTATTTTATTATCAACTCTATCTAGTCTTGGTAAAGTTTAGTTTTGATTGGAGAGGTGTATTTTGAAATGCCTAGGTCGATCTAATATCAACATACGACGGTAATGATTCAATCTAAATATTATATAAAAAGAGAAACTGACTGACTGACATATCAACGCACAGCCTAAACGGCTAAACGTAGGCACTTGAAATTTGGAAGGGACGTAGCTTAGGTACCGTAGAGGTGCACTAAGAAAGGAATCCCGAAATTCCCACGGGAACGGGAATTAGCGGGAAAATCCTTTTTGTATGAAAAATCTAAACCGCTTACGTTAGAAGCTTGAAATTTGGCATGCAGGTACCTTAGTAAACTTAAAGCTTAGTTACAACAGGATATTGCAAAATTCCCACGGGAACGGGAGTTAGCGGGAATAAACATTTATATGAAAAAATCTAAACCGCGTAAGATAGATAAAGGGGGTAAAACGGGATCCACGCGTACGAAGTCGCGGGCGGCCGCTAGTTATCTTTATAAACCACGTCTAGGTCCCGATAACTGCATTATTGACACAGCGCGGCACACATTCGATTTAAAAATACACCAATCGATAAGTCAAATCGATATCGGTAATTTATTGGTTTAATGTCCATTCGCGGTTTATTTTTCCGAGGACGTTGACTCTAGGGTTGAACGGCTGGAATGTTTGTGCGCTGAATTTTAATCGTTGTCTGGGCAAATACTTAAGTTTCGTTTATACTTTGATCGATACAGAAAAAATACCTCACCAAAAATAATATTTAGAGGGTGAGTTTTTACTGTACAAGTAAGAGTCATTGAACCATTAAAACTGATTGACGAGCGAATCTTATGTAGTTATAACCATATAGGTACTATTGGTGTGGACTGTAGCAACCCTACAATGATGGCAAGTCATTGCTTCCTTCAAGAACTTGTCACACTGGATGCGGTCTGCGGTCAGGTCAAAATAAGTGCAGCCTGCACGTATGATTACTCTGACCTTACCGCAGACCGCATCTAGTGTGTGGCAAATCCTTCATCCATCGTGAGAATAACATCAATAATCTGATGTGACAACAAGTCTATAAAACCTAACGTCGCTAAAACTATCCAAAACCGATTTTCTATACGAGGCCAACTCGAATAGACATAATAAATTCATTTTCTAATCAAAAAGCCTTTGTTCTTTGCGAACAAGGGGTCTGAATCGCAACAAAGGACGTTACGACAAAAGACCACACACGTATACATAGGTTATGTACATCATTGTCTATCTATCGGACGATACATTTTCGATTTAGTCTACCAAATACTACCAAATTGTAACTTACGAATTTTGTTAGGCAATCGCTAAGTGTGGTGTGTGGTACATCATCACACTAGAAATAGGAGACTTCTTACCGATTGATAGAAACATGAATTATCTTTATGGTATTCGAACGAGACTCAAAGGTCTTATAACTTTTGTTTTCGCAACATTTTCGATTTACTTTCAGACTCGCGGACCTATTCCGCCAACCGATTTGGATCTATCCGTTTAGCTCCTTCATCGCAGTTTATCTCACAATAATCCTAAGCTTTTCAACACTGTAATCTTCCCCCGGGACAGCTTTCAGCTCAGCGTTTACTGGTTAGGTTTATTGGTGGTAAAACTGTAGATCCTGGCTACACAGAAGTGACAGTGAACGAAGTACGAACAAAATGCGTCATGCGATGGCCCTATTACCAGCAATTACCGTAGGGCGGACAGGTGTGTGGTATCTCTTGCATATCACCAACCAACATGCACGGTTGGGTTGTTGAAATTATGTAGATACAAAATATTGCTTTGTATAAGTTATTTTACATGCATACTTAACTTAGTTAAAATTATGTAAAAGACGAACTCCACCTTAACACTAGTTGATAAGTAAACTGAGACCAGCGCTGTTGGATTCATAATAATAATGTACATTATTTTATACTATCTTCTTTATATAAATTCTGATTGTGAATCTGTTTGTGGTCCTATGAGAATAAATGAAAAAAAAAAAAATTACCATAATACAATAAGACCTTACGGAAGACGGTAATATCTAATTGATCTTATGTAATAATGATAGGATTGATAGGTGTTATTTTTCAAACGAAAATGTGTAGTAAAAATGGGGCCCGATGTGTTGTCGACTGACAAATAAAAGAGATGGATATTATGCACGTAAAAATTGCTTTGTTAGACTTGTTCGTATTTGGGTATTGGGTAACCTATGTGAATATTCTGAACGAGGGATTTCAAAAAATAGGAAAAATATTCCTCTGCATATAACTTTTAATTAACTAGGCTTGTGTAGAGATAGAAGGATATAGTACCTAAATACGGGCTAAAATTAAATAAATGTATACGGGCTGTTAAGCAGTCTCTTGGTAATTAATTTATTGAAGCGATCGAAAGTATAAATTGAAAGTGATTTCCATCAAAAGTGCGTTTTGTTTTATCTATAAACATCCGTGTCTAAATGTGCAAGTTCCTATCGTCTACCTCCGAATAAAACTTATGCACACAATATAACCATTCTCATCTACGGAGTAACGTATTCAAACCCCGTAATTTGCACAGTTTTGTCGCAAATGTAACTGTGAAACAGGAATGGAAACCCGGCAATAAAGTACAGGTCATCTCGGGGGAAATTAAAGTGTCTTCGACGTAATAAAATCAATCCGTAACGGTGCCAACTCGTGTGGAGGCCTGCTCCTGCAAAATGGACCCCAGGTTCGGTGGGACAATCAGGGTTCTTCTTGTTTTTCTTCTTTCAATTCGTGTTTGAAGTGATAACATGGTAGTCGAGAGATTGAAATGAACTTTCCTATTACTAGTAGTGCTTTTGGTACTATAGATGACCCACGCTGAACTG